GGAAGTTCAGTGCTCGTGGCTTCTGTTGGGGGTCAAGTTCAGCCGCCGAGGAGAAAAACAACTAAAGCACATCAGACCCTGTATGGTGAAAGAAATTGACTTTTGCCTTCCTCTCAGAGCCTACCAGACACTCATCCTCAGTGGACAACTATTCAAGAAGGTCAAAGCTGTGTAAGTTAAGGTTGTTTGGATGGAGAGCAACAGAAACCCCTTTTGGTTAACTTAAGTGAAAAAGAGGGTACCGGATGGATGACTCACAGGAGCTCCCTCAGGGCACTTCAGGTGCTCCCAGAACAGGCGCTGCTGAATCTCCTAGGGCTCTGTCAACTTGTAGCTTTGTTCCATCATCCTGTGTATCTGCTTCTTATCACTCGTGTTTTGAATTCACAGATGAACAATTCGCTAACTGGTCTGTGTTGGCAAGTAATCTCCCCTTGGACACTCATCCCTGCAGACGGACCAGCTGCCCGATGCCCCCTGAGAGAACGGTAGTGATCAGTGAGCATCCCAGTTTTGTCTTCTACAGAGAATGCCTACTTAGTTTGTTCTCCAACTTCCGCCTCTTCTCTCTCTAACCATTATGTTTTTATCTCTCCTGCAGATGAATGCTTCTCAAGGTTCTATGTTGTTATGGCTCTTCCGGAAGTCATGTAACACTGCAGGTTCTGATTAAGTAAAATTGGGGTACTCCTGAGATTCTGGATTTATAGTACCTCCCAGACAAAGCCAATAATGCTAGGCTTTGAGTCACACTTCTAGTAGAAAGACTACATAAGATGCTTTGGGATGCTTAACTGAGACCCATTACTTCCTCCCCCTTGGAAATAGTGCCGAGGTCTTTATCATCCACTTCCACTCTCATGTATTCCGGGGAAACTGAACATTCTTCCATTCCTAATTATGAGTGCCAACTGGTTTAAACCAGTGAGTCATTCAGTGTGGTTTCAGTGTCCCAGTACCTACATTAATTGCCGGTGCATAGTAGATATTCAATAAATATTTATTAATTTGAATCAGGAATTGATGTGAGCATAGATATGCGAATGAAGCTTATCCAATTCAGGTGAATTTCAAGACACTGGACTGGAATGCTAGTCCAGAATCCCTTCTGACATTGGATGTGGAGGTTAGAGACCTGATATTGACTGGCAGCCTTCTTTCAATCTTAAGAGAGACAGCCTTAGAAAGCAGACCCCGGGGAGGTGGGGGGAAGAGAGAAAGAGACAGACTATTGATAGCATCATTGAAACATTGAATAAACTACTATATATTCACCCCAAGTATTGCTAGACGGCACAGTGTCCGGTGATTCCAGGCTCTTTCTGTCCTGCCCAAAGAATTGGCCAGGACAACCAATGAACACATAAATGGAACTTTATTTCAAGTAAAGGAAGAAAGCTGGGGATACAGCTCAGCAGGCACAGTGTCTGCCTTGCAAGTGTGAGGTCCTGAGTTTGATTCCCGCTACCAACAAAACCCAAAACAAAACAGTAAAGGAAGAAGAGAGAAACAGTAAAGAAAAGACAAGAGAGGAGGAAAATAAAAGAAGAAAAGAGAAGAGCAAGAAGAGTTCCATCCTGCAGGCAGGCTGGGCCACTGCAGTAACAGAAGATACTAGAATGGGAAGATCCAGTGGCAGTGAGGACAGTGGCCACCATCTTTTACCCTCTCCCGGTCCAGTGAGGTCAGAAGTTGTTCTGCACACGAGTCCTGGCTGTGATCAGCAGGTCACGTCCTGTTGTGCAGCCTCCACTCTAGCTTAGGTTCTGTCCTGTTTTTAGCCAGCCTGCCATGCCCTAATCTCCTGCTTCACCACAGTTGTGTGAACTAATAAATCCCTTTCAGTTTAAGCCAGTTTTAGCTGGATTTTCTGTTACAACAGAAAGGAACATTCCAGTCAACAATGGGGAAATATCTTACTCCTAGGCTTTAGTTTGGTGTATGCCTTCAGAATCACTATGGCCAAAAACCACTAAGTCAGAAAGCATCCCCCAACACGGTGTGGGTATAGACTTTATTATAGAAACTTAAAAGCAAGTGTCTGCAGGGAGGAAACTTGTCTGTGATTTCTCAGCCTGCCATTAATGCAAGGCAGGGCACCTGCTGGAATATGGCAGGTTATGTTTCAGGCAAAGAGCTCTCCTCCCTCCTTGTCACTTTGCACATGGTGACAGTCTGAGAAGCAATTTATTATTGGGGGTGCATACAGCTTCTGGGGCCCCGGGCTGTCTGGGTTAGGTGTTAGATGTCCTGAGGAGCTGTCTGGGAAAGCCAGCTTTCCAGCTCTGGAGATTTGGGGCTGGGGTGGGAAAGAAGCTTACAGTCCTGTAGGAGGCCAAGTGTGGGCCAGTCCATTCCCCTGAGAGGGAGGGAAGTCCCTGTTCTGAATAGCTTGTCCACGCCACCTGAAGTGACCTTCGAGAGTCAGTGTTAGCAGTTTTGCTTAGCCTAATCCTTCAAGTGGTTTGCTATTACCTTTAGGATAAAGTCCAAGAGGTTTGATTTCCAGGACAGTCACCGCCTGGCCCGACCTTACCCTTTCATCTTTCTTGTGTCACCCCTTGCGTTACACCGTAAACTCTAGCTATGCTGGATGACATGCTATATCCTTTCACAGGGGCTGCAGGTCTTCTGCACATGCCTTTTCCTGGAATGCGTCTTGCTGAGCATCCTGCCCACTAAATTTGCTCAGGACCAAAGCCTGCTCATCCTTTAAGTTTCAGCTTAACTGTTACTTTCTCTGGGAAACATTCCCAGATCTTTAATCCTCATACCGGGCATAATTAATCATTGCTTGCTTTCAATTCCCCTGGCGCTTGGTTCACACTGCTAGAACGCACTTATCACCTTGTTAAGCGACACATGCATGGGCTCCTCTAGATGACCAGTTTCCTGCGCCCAGGGACCTTCTCTTACTTGTCTTTACAGTTTAAGCCCTACTGGGCTGCTGTCCATCGGACTGAGCTGCTGGCCCTGCTCTGGCGTCTTGCCCTTTGTTCTGAACTTGGGAGCAGGCTGAAGCCAAGGCTGGCCCAGGGCTGCATGGACCTTTCCTTCTCTATAAGACGCCAAAGATGGACTAGGTACAGAGTGTCCAAACACTGGAATCTGTACCCAAGAGGTACAAATAAGTTTACAGATACTTCTGTTTAGGAGGAAATAAAATTAGGGAGAGAAGCAGCCTGATATTTTAGAGCAAGTTCCCAGAGAGTCTATGGGATCAGTCGCCTCAGGGAACAGCTAATTAGTCCAGAAGATGGTCTAGCATATATAAAAGGAACAGTACGGTCTTTTTAAAAATGAAGATCCCCTTTGCCCTTCTTAGTGAGATCGTACTGCTGTTAACTTTATTACTGACGTTGAATGCCCTTGATACCAGGAAGCACTTCTGTGAGCAGCTCTGAATGCAGCCTTTCATCCATCCTGCCCCCGCCATCAGGGCGGAAAGGGGGGGATTTCTGTTTCCACAGCTACGGGCCAGCGTTCCTGTTAGACATACTAACGACGGGCACTGAAACCAGACCACACAGAGTTAAGGGAAATAGTTCACGGCTTTGCTTTCATCAGACCGGTGCACTTTAGAGACACTCTGGAACCGTACACCTTGACCTCCGTTTCAGAACAACAGTGTAATGTCCAGAGAGAGAAGCGGCCGGGTCACGTGATCTCTCTGCAGGTTTGCTCAGCCCTCTCAGGACACACCTAGAGGCAGGCTGAGGCCAGAGCACACAGGACACGGGTGCGAGCCTGCGGACAGCGGAGCCCGGGCGGCCTAATGGAGCGGCTGGCACGGGGCCAGTCTGCGGGCCCTGTCTGGCCTGCGCGGCAGCTGCACATGTTCCTGGGATCGGAGCCAGCCGGTGGCTCACGGCCATGGTTTCAGGGTCCTGGCTCCATCCCAAAACAGGCTCGAGCTCCTGAGGCCGACCCAGCACTGGCTTTGTTCTGGCTCCAAGCTGAAGTCGGGCCCCTGGGCCAGAAGGGGAAGGCAGGCCCTTGCACCCTAACCTCTGACCTCCGCGCCTGACCCGTGGCCTGCCTCGGGCAGGACCGAACTTGGGTCACTTCAGATCTTTCCTAGTGGGTTTGCCCCCTTTGGGCCTTCTGGGGGCACTACAGTGTTGCTCTCTGTGCCATGGGGCTCGAGCTGATGTAGGGGTTGCCAGGGTGGAGCGCAAGCCCACTCGATCTGGCCCAGACTGGGCCAGGAACACTCAGAAGTGACTACAGCACTAGATTTCAAAACTGGCCACGGTTTCGCAAGATGTGTTACTCAAAACCAGGGACTCTGAAACAGGTTATCAGGACACCCACAAAATGCTCAGACCAAGATGGACTTTAATCTCCATTACAGCATTTCACAAACATCCCGATAAACTATCACTGGTGACATCCTTCGATATTGATGCTTTTCTCTCCCATTAAATGTGGATGAAGCATCTTCAGAACATTTTGGCATCTTTATTGATTGAAGCAGGCAATCTAAGTAAAAGCAGAGTGCTTGCTCTGCAATTAAAGTTTCTAGACAAAGCTTCTAGACGAGTCTCCCATCGAGGAGCAGCTTGCCACCCAGAGTCCCTCCCATATGGGCCTCTGAAATCTGCTTATAAAATATAGTCTTTATTTGCATGCTTCCCCCTCTCGCTTCAGTCTAATTCTCCCAGATTGAGAGAAACACAATAAAGGGATTTTTTTGTCAGTGCTTCCCTTTTCACAAACTCTTTTTTTGGAAACCGCAGCCTCGGATCCCAGCAGAGGTTCTTGGGGGCTTTAAGAACATCAATCAGTTTCGCAGCTGGAGGCTGAGGCTTTCCTCAGGGAAGACTTTTTACATAAAACAGATTGTACTTTGTCCTTGCCAGGGCAGACAAAGGTTTAAATTAAATATGCAGCAAGCGCCAGTTGGCTGCCTGCCACGGCCGGGAGGGGGAGGGAGCCTGTGTCCCTCCCCGCCTTCCTCCGCAGTACTTGTTCCCTGCCCTGTTTCTGTTATGACAGTGGAAGGAGCCTGGTGCTAGCAGAGGACTGGCCTTTTCCGTGAGTGCCCTGGGTGATACCGGGCAAGTCACTCAGGGTCACACTTCCGGGACCTTAGATTTCTTTCTTATACAGTGAGGAGTTTCAAGGAGATGATCCTTGAAGGTCTTTTCTGTCTTTAACCTTTTACATTATCTCCAAACTCAACTGAATGGATTTTTAGCAAACGCCCCAAGCCTCATCCGAGAGCAATCCGTCCTCATCGTTCCTAGGGTGACTGGGGGGTCCTGGCTTCCTTTCTCACAGACCTCTGGGGCCAGGCAGGCAAATCTGTGAGGGGGGCAGGGAGACCAGTAGCACAGGGTGAATCACAGCCCCCGAGGGTACCAGAGAGTGGCAGGGACTGTGGCGAGCCCTCGAGAAAGGGGCCTCTTCCATCCAAAGCAGCTCCAGCCAGTTTTCGCCCCTTGAGAATTGTGGGTCCCTGGGACAGCTAGTTCTTTTTCTTTTTTCTGGTGGGAAAGTTCTAAATGTTAAAATAGCGGTAACTAATTAGAGAAAAATAACTTTGTGGTCTTGCAAAATAGACCAGTAGGTCTGTGGGCAGCAAGAAACTGGACAGTCAGTGTGTCAGTCTCAGGGACCTTAGGAAGGTAAGGGAGTCTGCTCCTCCATAGCTCACATCTGTTTAGAGAATCTGTGTACTTGAAGGCATGTTGTCAGCTCTGGGAAAGAGCTAAGGATGGAAAAGATAGAGCCCTAATGGGTCGGTCAAAAAATATTTCTCAATATTGTAATGTTACCCTCGAGGGTAAATTTCAGAGGGCAAAATAAGTTCACCCACAGTTAGTCCCCAAATCAAGCCATGGCCTGGTAGTTAATAGCTCTGTTCTTTTTTTCTTTCTTTTTTTTTGTCTTTTTGAGACAGGGTCTCACTATGCAGTTCAGACTGAACTTGGTCTCACTTTGCAGCCCAGGCTGACCTTGAACTCACAATGATCCTCCTGCCTCAGGCTCCTGAATGCTAGGACTACAGGTGTGTGCCACCACACCCAGCTTAGTTCTGTTCTTTCATGGTGAAAAGTAATTTATAATTTCTACCTCTATGTTAAAAAAAGTGGATTTCATGCTATGAACTTTGTGGGGAAAGCAGCTATTTTGTAAGATATATTTAAATTTCAGAATTTAATTTGGTGTTCTGTAGTAATGATAGCTTTTATGTTATTATTAACATATTAAATGAAAATATAATTTTCATATAATTAAATTTTAAAAATTTAAGGTAATACATATTTTAGTCTTTATTTCTAACATTTGGCTTCACAAGTATATAAAGTATAACTTCTATAATATTACAATAATTGCAATAATAAGTCTGCAAAGTACAGAAGCAATTTAAGGGAAGTCCTATTCATACTAAAGTATTGAAGTCTTTATCTTGAGAAAGAATAAAATGAAAATAGAACTTAGTCTTTTTATAATAAAAAACATAAAAAAAGAAAATAGAACTTAGTAATTTAAAAATTAACTGTTTCAGACATGCAAATTTTAATTTTCAGAATGTATATGAAAGCCAAGCTTGGTGGTGCTTGCCTGTTATCCTAGCACTTGGGAGGCTTAGGCAGGAGAATCGCTGAAAGTTCCAGTTCTGCCTGGGCTATAAAGTGAGTTCAAGGCCAGCCTAGGGACCCTGTGTTAAAAAGACCAAAATAAAAAAGAATGTATATGAAATGTACTGCACTTGTGTTAAGTATATTCTATTGATATGGATGTTATAAATAGACACAGGTAATTTTTCAGGAAACAAGATGAAGTGATTTCTTGCATTGAAATACTGTAATAATTTCAGTGTAAAATAATTAAAGTGGCAGCTAACTATAAAAGTACTTGCTTTTTCATGGGTAGTTCATATTTTGATCTATTTAATGTTCTTTCCTTGATCTAAGCAATTTAAGACATGAAAACTTTCTTCATTTCACCTTTCTTCTAGGATTTGTCTCATTTTCTTCCCCTGCATTGAAACTTTTTACATTTTTGTCTAATTTTCATGAATGTGATGTATTAGTATGTAGTCTCTCATGGTGAGGCTCAGGAGATGCTGTCCCAACTATGTACCTCAGCATCTGAGAAAACGCTAGAAGTGGGAAGGACTCTCTGACCTGCTCCCTGCTTTCTCCCCTGAAGTGAACCTTAGAGAAATTCCCTGCCCTTCCTCTAAGCAAATCATCAGAACTTTCTGAGAAAGGTGCCCACGCTGTGCTTAGAAGGGGCGCACCCTTATGGCTGAGTACATAGAAAAGAATCTAAACAAGCAGGCCTTGCTGTTCTCACCCCAACTAATCACCACGAGATCAGATCCTCCTTGTCCAGTCCTACTTCTCTATCACCAGACACTCCTGCAAACTTAGCACAAACACGCATAAGTTACCCTGTTTCTTTGGGTCTTCATTTCTGAAGGTCTCCCTATTAAGTAAAACCAAAATACATTTGTGAGTTTTTCTCCTGTTAACCTGTCTTTTTCTATAGCTTCTCCAGCCGTGAATCTCGCCATGGGTAAGGAAAAGAAATCTTCCCTTCCCAATACTGACTTATGAATTACATACACTCTTCTTTTATATTTCACTCATTGTATAGGGTGAAGCGCATAAGTAAACGGGGTTCCCTGTAGGCATGGACAACGCCAGGGTCAGGACAAACACCAGCTGTAAACAACTGTTTCAGATTTAATGCTTTTTTAAACAACAAGTTATAATGGTACAATTATCATCACTAAAATAATTACTGTATGGGAAGCACTAAAACATTTTGATTGCTGTATTAGTTGTATAATCAACCACCAAGTGTCCAATAGGCCAATTGTGAAATCTTGGGTTTTACATAACAAGAATTTATTTCTTGCTCACATAAAGTGAGATAGTAGTCAGGGGTTCTCCTCCACTCAGGGACCCCAGGCCTCCTGTCCCTGAAGCCGCCCCATTAACAGGTAGCTTCCCAAGTCTCTGCAGGAGGCATGAGGGAGTGGAGGATGCCTGTGGCTTCAATTGATTTTGACTTGCAGATAATGCTCAACACCCTGCTCACCTCCTATTGGCCAGGATAAGACACAAGGACCCCACCCACCTCACCACAAGGGACGTGCAGGGGAGAGCGTCAACTGTTTTCGGAGTCTGCCAACCCAGTATTGATGGTGACTTCTATCTCCCATCATGCATCTATTTAACTGATGATACCTTTTGACCTTTGTTGCTTACTCCTGGCCCAATTCTGTGCTTGTCTTTGGTTCTCATTCTCTTGGTAGCTTTATCACATGTTCTGTAGTCTATTTCTGGCTCAGTTGCCCAAGCGAGACTATCTGATTGGCTTGTGTATCATCTCTGTCCCTGGGAAGATCTTTGTGTCAGGCCATCTGAGATGCTCTGTCCTGCCTGTCCACTGACTGCTCCTGGTTATGGACACATTGCATTAGCCATCTGGGAAAGGAGCCAGGGAATAAACTGCATAGGAATTTGGAGATTAAATGAATAAATAAATGAGAACTATTTTGCATACTGAAGATATAAAAATATAACAACATTGCTATCAAATTGTTACTATAGCACAATATTTGCAAATTCAAAATGTATCAGTTTTGAAAGGAACTGAAGATTTATTTTTTCAAGCGTATTCAGTACTATAAATCTAGAGTAGCTATTATGTCAAACTAAAGTGTACAAAAATGTGACTTTTTTCATGTTTTGATAGCCAAATTTAATTTCTATTTTAGGATTCCACTGAGTGGGAGGAACTTACTTTTGCTAAATTTCAGACTGTCTGCAACCTGCCCAGAATTGTACCTGAGATTCTAGAGATTTTTGTAGTATTACAAGACTCTGTCTTCATGGGACAGTGGCCGTGCAGGTGGAGGGCACTTCTTATTCATGGATACCTGTGTTCTTTTTCTTTAGTCAAAGCACCACTTTACTTTCATTTGCACACTGGCTGCCTGCTTAGTGACATTGTCCCAGCCTCTCTGAAGCTAGTGTGGACGTGTGTCTGAGTGCCAGTGAGAGTGCCACGCCGACTTCCACTCCAGGCCCTCGATGGCGCTGCCAGTCCTCAGTTCTGCACACTGCCTTTCCTCTTCCTTCCGGGCTGAAATGAGGATGTGGGGATGTGAACCAGCTTTGTTTCTGCAAGGGCACGAGGTCCGCATCGGCGGAGAGGGAGCAGGCGGCCGGGCTGCCAGAACCCAGCTCCTGGATGACTTTGTGGAGCAGGGCAGCTCTGGCCCTTGGGTCCCTCCTATTTCGAACTTCTGTGTGATACAGTGGGCATTTGATCTTGTTCAGGCTCCATTACAGTATTGTGACCTTGAGCACAGCTGAACCCATATCCATAAAAGATATACCCGCTTTCGAGGGTGGTGCCTGCTGTGCCCTCCCAGGCCTATCTGACGCCAGGCCTCTTCTCGTGTGCTGCTTCTGTGTTTTGCTCAGGCAGTGCTTCCTGTGTTGGTGAAATTCTAATGCTCCTTCATGGGCTGCACAGTGAGAAACTGCTCAGTATTCATCTTGCATTTCTGGCATCTTTCTGCTGCCGCCCCACCGCTTCCCGACTTTGGAACTTCTGCAGGACTCTCACAGGGTCATCTGCCTGGATGTGCCATACAGATTTTCCTTCTAAAAGCCGGGCGTGGTGGCTCACGCCTGTAATCCCAGCACTCGGGAGGCTGAGACAGGAGGATCGTTGTGAGTTCAAGGCCAGCCTGGGCTACAAAGTGAGCTCAAGGCCAGCCTGAACTGCATAGCGAGACCCTGTCTCAAAAAAGACAAAACAAACAAACAAACAAACAAACAAAAAAACCAGATTTTCCTTCTACTCCTGTGTGTGCTGGGCGTGGGGAATTAGAGATTCTTACAGCTTCCTGATTCTCCCTGGGGCAGGTACAATGACCTCTGCTCTGGAAGCCCCAGATATACCTGGGGATTTTCTTATTCCTTTCTCTGAGCTCAACCACAGGGCCCAGGGTCCTTTCTTAGGAACCCTTTGATATATTTCCTTTTTTTGGTTTCCAGATCTCC